TACTACTCTGTGTTAGGTTCCCAGTTCTGTTCGCCCCAGGAAATACTTGCTGCCAGTCAGCCAGCTGGGGCCCACAGTGTAGCACTGACCCCAGGGCAGGAAAGCCATGTCAGGGAGCCCAGCAGCCTGGGTTCCAGTCCTACTGTCTGACCTGGGACAGGCATTCCCTCTCTCGGGGCCTCATTTCCTCCCAATGAAGATGGACGCAGGGACCCATCTGGCCCTGGCCATGGTTCTGCCTGCCGTGAAGCTAGTCTCCCGGCCTGCATGAGCCAGCGCAGCCCCCGGTGGGGAGGGCGGTGCAGCTCCTGTGTCTGCAGCCGGCGAGGCACTGAATCGCCAGCACAGAGGAGAGCATGTCTCCCCGCCCCGCAGGCTGGGCTGTCGTGGCCATCTTTGGCTGCTAGGGTCATTTTTAAACTCCAGCCTCACGTGAGCCTGGCTGTGGTGGCTGCTGTTCCCAGACTGTTTCCCAGGACAGTGGCCACTTGGGTGTGAGAGCCAGACCTCTGTGCCAGACCCTGTGGAGGAAAGGCGAGGTCATTCCATTTCCCGTCCCTTCACTATGAAGACAGGGTCTCCCCCCCAGGGCAGGACCTGTACTGAGCAGTGAGGCCACCGAGAAGGCTCAGAGCTCAGCCTGCCCTTGGGAGCTGATGGGAGTCGCACAGAGAGCAGAGAGGAGCAACACAGCCACCACATCAGGCCACAGCGAGCGGAGCACGGGTGTCCAGAAGGCCCTTGACGGGCCTGGGGGCCAAGGAGCTTCCTGGCTCAAACTTCCTGGCTCATTGTTAGTAAGCCTGGATTCTCATAAAGGAAGATCTCCTGACGGCAAGTCCATGGTGTGGGATAAAGCTGAGTAATTTCTATAGCTCAGCACGGAATGCAGTGGGAAAATACAGTTTTTAATTAGAAATCTATTAACGTTAACATGTAATAAGTTTTTAATTTCTATTTTAAAATAAATTAATAAATATAAACTCCCCCATTTAATTTCTAATACGGCAAATACCAGCAGCTGGAACACATTCACACGAACATAAGCTCTTCGGGCTCCTCTGTCATTGTCAGGAATGTCAGGAAGCCCACTTCTGTGGTGACCCAGCCCCTTGCCTGGAGAAAAAGAAGGGGCTCTTGGGGCTTCGAGGCCCGTGTGTGAGAAAGCTTGAGTGCAGAAGACGGGACACATGGCCTCAGTGCCAATCCTTAGTGGAAGATGGTGACCTCGCCATCCCCTCCGCGGTTGCTGAGAGGACTAAACCTTAGAGACCAGCCGATCACAGGTGGGGACTGGGGTCCACCTTCCCAGCTCTGGGGTTTCATCGTTTAGTGCCACATCAACTCTGAACCAGAATGCTAGATTACTCCCCTAAATTATCCTTTGCCAGCAAAACAACATCACCTTGGCTCATTATTAGAGTCTAGGTTCTCAAAAAGAAAGATCACTTGGTGGCCAGGCCATGGTGGGGGAGAAGGCTGAGTGATTTTTAAAGCTTAATTCTGTCTCATGTCCAGAGTTCCAGGCCACCTCAGCTCCCAGCTCCCCAGATCCGTGGCTGGTAGCGACGAGCAGGGCTTCTCGTAGTCGCAATTCTTCGGCTGGGAGCGGAGTTTCCGTCTCCCTTTCTCCATCACATGTGAGCTTGAGCTTAAACAGGGACTCTCGGGCCGTCCCAGCTTAGGAAGAGAGCACAGGCCTGCTCGAGTGGCATCGGCTTCCTGTGCCAGGCGTGGGACAGCCTGGTCGGTTAACACGGGGGGTTGGTGTGGGGAGACATGAGGAGTATGACCCGAGCATCAGGAAGCTCTGCGGAGTTGGTGGCGTTTGAGACAGGCCCAGGATTTTGTTTATGAGAAACAGGAGGATCAAAGGGGTGGGCAGGGCACTTGGGGCTGGTCAGCCGGCGGCGTGGGATTACAGGCCACGGACTACGTGTAGGAGGCGGTGGGAGATGAAGCTGGGAGGAAGCTAAGACTCCACCTCCTTGTACAGTGTGGGCACCAAGGAGCCACAAAAACCATGTGTGCAGCGAGTGAGGAGTGCCCTAGACTCAGCCCACCATTGACGGTAGCCACCGATGATGGTCATGGAGGCTGCTCAGTGGACACCGCCCACTGACCAAACCCTCGCCAGTCAGAAGACCTGATGAGGGACTAAATACGACTCAGTGGCCCAAGAGCGTCCCTCCAGTACCTGCCTCCTCTGAGGCGGGGCTGCCTGGCCTAGGCAAGGCCCCCTGAGGAGCTGCACTGTCTCCAGATTGGCAGGAGAAGGTGCCGGCCGCCGAAAGTCAGTGCCCCCATAGTCACTGAGCGCCCGCCGCATCTGGCACTTGCCCGTTCGTGAGGCAGATGATCATTCCCGTTTTACAGACGAGGTTCCAAAAGTGAAGCAGTTTTCTCCAAGATACGCAACTAGTAAAGAGGCCACACTCATACCCACATCTGCTTGACTTCACAAGACTTCCTTTTGTAAGAAAGCCATGTGCCAGGCTGGCTCGGACCAGCTCGTGAGAACCAGCTTCACCTTCAGGGACATCTCCCTGGGGGCTTTCCTGGAGCATGTACACCACAGCCCCCACCCAAGCCTCAGCACACAGCTCTGCAAGTCACGCAGACCAGCTGCTTTGGAATTTAGTGAGTTCCGTGTGAACTTGCAGCTTCCTGTGAGGAGCCTGGCATTGAAGGGCTTTGCTCATTCAGGTGTCAATAAGTTGGTCATACTCTGCGTCAGTCCAACGATTTGATTCGAGTAAGAAAATCAAGGTAAAGGAATGAGAGCCTTAAAATCAGATGAAACCAGAGGTCAGCGTGCTGAGCCAAGTGCAGGCTTCGTTCATTTCAATTTTTTTGTTTTATTGAACTTCAGGTTTTTTAAATCTTTATCATAGCTGCCAGGGCGTTTGTGTTTTTATTGTGTTGTTCTTTTTTCTTCGTTGCTTTTTTTATTCTTTGTTTTGTTTTTCGTGTTTTTAAATATATGTCAATTCTCAGTTGCCCCACGTTAAGTGCTTCAAGTGGACAGGGTCGAAATTGAGCTAGTCCTCACCTCACCTAGGAGACCAGTGAGCCACCTGGGAGAGGCCACCTTCTCTCTTTTCCAAGGCTAGCTCCTCACAATGGGACTTGGAAGTCAGGTCTTAGGGTGGTGTGTGGGTGGACAGCAGCTCTTCCTTTCATCTGCCTTTAGCCTCTTGATGGACTTGTAACCTACAGCCTCTCACTTGACCCCTGACCTCATAAATTCTGGAAACTCCTCACAAATCACCAGGAAGATAAACATCAACTGGGGTCAACTGAAGTGGGTCTGAGCCGCTCTAGGCAATCAGGGAGGGGAGATCAAGTCTGAGGTGGGAGGTGGGGGGGCTGTCCCAGGAACTGTGGGTGACTGAGGAGAGGGGACCCTTGCTCTTCCCATCACACCCGTGCCCTCAGAATGTGTTTCTGTGTCGTTGCCAGTGAGCCCTGACTGGGCGGGGTGTGGAGGCCAGGCCTCTGAAGACTTAAGGCAAACAGTCTGGGGTCACTGCCCCCGAAACCCGTGGGCAGCCCAGCTCCACTCAGCAAGGCCCCCGGGGCGGGAGGGGGAGAGGCCTTTGTGGTCCAGTGTCCTGGTTCAGGTCTTCATGATACCTTTGCACACTGTCGGCCTTTGGGGCAGGCGGCGTAATCATGGTTCCCCCATCTCTGGACAGGGTGCTCACCTTTATAGGGGACGAGGGGCCCCAGGACATGCACAGGATGTCACCACTTGGGTTTGGGGCCACAGTGGGGACTCTGGGAGCCTAGGAGGAGAAGGGACTGAATCGGCAGGCCTTCTGAGGGTCAGGGCTTCCAAGCGTGGCTGGAGAACTTGCTGGAAGGGCCAGCCACCATGAGCAAGAATCCAGACACAGAGCCTGCTGCAACTAGAGGGTGGGGCACTGTGGCAGGCACTGGGGCAGCCCAGCCCTGGCACCTATGGCGTTCTCCCCCTTCCGAAGCCTCCCACGCCACGGGGAGGCCAGTCGCTGATTGCCCCGGTGAGATGAGGCCTCAGAGATAAAGGTCCCTGAGGTTTACGTACAGTTTTGCTTTAAAAAAGTGTCATTTGCCAACCAGCAGGACTCTTGGGCTGAGAATAGGACACAGCGACGTGTGTGCCCCTGACCTGAATGAGCTCTGTGAGGGCTGCGGGTGCCAGTGCAGGGCTGTGTAGGTAGAGCTGGAGGCTAGCTGCAGGGCATGCAGGGCTTTGCCCTTGGAGGTGAGGGTTCCTGGGTCCTGGGGAACACTGACCAGGTACACGCAGAGACCTCCTCTGGCCGCTGGGAAGGTGGCATGTAGTTCAGGACATGGCCATGGGCTGGTGAGGACGAGCCTCTGAGGTCCAGTGGATCTGACTTGTGCAAACGCAGTGAGGGGTGGCTGAGCGGGACTGGCGGTACCTGCGGGCGTGGCACTGGAGGCTGGCCAGGGCACCCAGCCCCCTCACCCATCGGCGCTTCCTCCTGGGCCGAGCCTGCCTCACGGGAGCACATGGCCTCTCTGTGTAAACCCAAACTGCTGCACACCACTGTCATTTCAACGCCACCCACACCCACTTCACTGGGGACGTGTTCTAAGGCCCTGACCGGAGAGCAGTTCCAGAGACCCTGCCCCGTAACCTGGCCTAGGGCAGAAGCATCTCTTCCATGGGTCCCCCACTGCCATTTACTGGGTGGCTCTCAGGGCGAGGCCTGGCTCTAGACCTGGGCACTCAGGTTTCTCCCTCAGGGATCTCCTTCTGGATGGCTAGGTGCATGCCGTGTGTGTGTGTGTGTGTGCGCGCGTGCGCGCACGTGTGCGCGCGTGTGTGCACGTGTGTGCGTGAAAAAAAAAAACCTCAATGTGCATGTGCTAACAGCAGCCCAACACTCCCTTTGATTGTGATGTTTCATTGGCTGTCTCTTTTCAGCCTGAAATTTTCTCTCCCCCCTTCTCTCCCCGGTCCCCAACCCTTCTCTGTCTCTCCTCAGAGGGTATGAACTGCATGAACAAAGACCATGGCTGTGCCCACATCTGCCGGGAGACGCCCAAAGGTGGGGTGGCCTGCGACTGCAGGCCCGGCTTTGACCTTGCCCAAAACCAGAAGGACTGCACACGTAGGTAGATGGAGGCAGATGGGTCAGACATCCCCACGTGTCTCCTGCCGTTGCTTTGTGGGGGGTCTTCCGGTCTGCTTGGATGTGGCCCAGGGAGGGTTCTCAGCCCCTTAGGGTGGCGAGGAAGGGAAGGCCCCGTGAGAGGCGGGGGTGGGGGCGGCACGATGGCCAGGGCCATGAACCCCGGGCTCGGAGTTTCCCCACCTGGCACAGCGCCACTGACGCAGCCCTGGAGCCGGGCTAGGTCTGATGCAGGGGCCTATTTGAGGACCCTGCCGTGCTTCTTGTACCCCCTTCTTTTTCCCCAACGCCAACCTCATGGGCCAGGCTCTCCAGTGGGCATGGAGGGGCTACGGCACGGGGGTCTAAAGCTCGGTTTCGGGCAGGCCGGGGCAGCCCTCGTAACAGGATGGCACAGAGAAGGAAAGGAGCTTGGTGCGGAGGGTCCCGGCCCAGGCTGTGTTGACCCCATTTCCGGGACCTAAGCTCAGAACTCGCACTCCCCACCTGCAAGGCCGTAATGGTGCCGCCCTGGGAGATCTGGGGTGATGAGGCCTCTGGCCAGAGGGGGGCATTTCAGGGCCAGCACAGCGGTCAGCCCGCAGGGTTCGTGTGTAATGCATCCTCTGAGTGTGGACATCTAGCTCCCCAGTAGGAGTGGGAGCCAGCAAATGAAGTAGGACCGTGGCCAAACACCCTCAGCTGGTCGTCAGGAGCCCCCGCCCCCGCGCGGCCTCCACCAGCTGCACGGGGCATGGCAGGATGAGACCCCTGCTCGCTGGGCAGTGGAGACCCAGGCTGATGTGCTGCTGCCCTGTGGCTGCGAAGAGCCGAGGGAGGCCGGCGCGAGCAGGCCCATCTCCGGCCAGAGACAAGCGCCCTGTACCAGGCCTACTTCCTGATGCAGGAGATGGTATGGGGGAGCCCGGAGCCAGCTCCCAGTGCGGAAAGCGGCCCCAGCCTGGCTACTGCAGGGGAGGCTGAGGCTGAGCAGCTCTCACGAAGCAAATGGCTTGCTTTCCACCCTGCGTCCTGTGCAGAAGACACGGCCCTAGTTCGGTCCACCTCCCTTAGTCACCGTGATTTGCTCAGCAGCCATTGCTCTCCCTTGTGCGCCTGCCACACCTTTCCCAACTTGTGGCCTCCTCAGACAGTCACCAAGGTCTTGGACACCCGCACGCATCAGACACAGGCCCTTCTCCAGGGAGCTCATCCGTTCCCCGAAGCAAAGACGCTTCCTCGTGCCCAGTGTGGCCTGAGCGTGGGCCCGCACTCCTCTCCTGTGGGGTCACAGAGATAATCACGTGTGCTGTCACCAAGGTCAGGACCACTCGGAAATGCCAGCTGCAGCCCCGGGACTCCAGCACGGCCCTGCCGTCCTCTCCTTAGATGGATTCCTTTAGCTGCAGAGGATCCTGCCGCCTGGCAAACCTCAGCACAGAGAGTGAACAACTCCAGTTCTCCCGGTCCCCGCGTCGGGTCATCCGCCTTCCCTCAGGACAGAGGCCAAGGACGGGCACATGTGGGTGGGCAGGCTGGTCCACAGGCCCAGCCGGAAGGGGAGCGCATCCCCTCAGTCCGCAGGACAGACGGGCTGCCGCCCGCTCTGGCCAAGGCCGGAGCTGGGTGCTGGGTGCGGCGGGAGCTGCACGAGAAGTGGCGGGGCCGGCGGACTCGATGCCGCACGCGGTAATTCCATCTGGACGAGCGCTGTGAGGGGACAGTTCACTCAGAGACCATCTCCGAGGGGCCGCCCGGGGCTGAGCGGTCGGGGACAAGGCAAGGCCCCGCGAGCGGTGAAGACTTCCCCTACCCCAGTGCCACAGAGGGGAGCCAAGCCCGCGCCCAGGACGTTTGCTCGGGAGAGAGGCAGCAGCCCTCCCTCCCCGCTCGGTGGCCGGCTATTGCCAAGGTGTGTGGAGATTCTGGCCACAATCCTGGGGCCCAGAGCGGTGACTGCCCTGCAGCCCTCCTGTGAAGGAACCACGTAGATGGCTGTCCACCCCGTCAGCTTTGGTTCCCTCTGTGTGGTTAACGTGGCAGAGTAGTGTAAAGTCAGCTCTGAGACTGTCCCTCTAGCCTTTCAGGTCACTTGAGGTCCATAAATTCTACATCTGGAATTGGGTTGGGGGCTGAGGCCTGGCCTGGCCAGCCTCTAGGGACCAGGCGGACCACGGGGGCACCGCACCCAGCTCTTCCATCCAGAGCCCAGGACCCACCCCAAGGCCAGAGGTTTTCCCCATTTTTCTCTTGGTCTTCCCAGATCTCTGTGTACAAGCTTGGCCCGTGGGTCTGTGACATGCAGACACCGTGTGCAGGGAGTGAGGGACGCTGAGCGTGGCCCACCCTCGAGTCACCTCACATAGGCCTTTGTCTTCCTTAGAGTCACTTGTAGGGCACAGCCATCACCCGAGCCCAGAGCTTGGAAGGAACTGGCCGCAGTGCCCTAGCTGCCTCCTCTCAGGCTCCCCCGCCCACTCCAATGCGGCTTTTCTCTGGGAAGTCACGTGATGTCCCACCCAAGACGGGCTCTGCCTGGGTCTCTCCCTCACCTGGGATTTATGCTTAGCAGCTGTTCATGGACAGAGAGTTGCACTGCTTCAGAGATGACACTGCTACTCTAGGCTGTCAGGCTCCCAGGACCGCAAAGAGAAGAGACGGTCCTGTGCAGAAGGGACCAGAGGACTTCGTGCTCGAAGCCCCCGTCGAGTTTCCTGAAGCGATTCTGCAGGTCCCTGAAACGTCACCCTGGCAATTCGGTCCCTCCTTCGGATGAGCATTAGCTGCCTGTGGAAGAGGCAGCCTGCTAGAGCCTCCGGTCACGGAGGACAGCGTCTGGGATGCTGAGCAGGAGACATTCTCCCGACGTCCTCACCCAGACACCTGCACTCAGGACGGATGCCAGGGAGGCTCCGAGCCGCCCTCTCGGTGAAGGGACGTGACCCCAAGAGGGCGGCCACAGAACTCCAAAGCGCTCAGAAGCCTTCGCCAGGAAGCTGCCACCAAATAACTCCCCGCCGGGACCAGTCCTGCTCATGGGTCATCTTGATAGAGCATCATTAATTCAGACTCCACCAATTCAGAACTTTTGACACCTCTGACCACGGTCGGTCGGAGATTAACTTTTGCATATTTGATCATCGTTAGCATTTTGCCATGTAAACTAAGAGTGTAGATAGAATTCTGGATAAGTGGTTAAGGTATCCAAGAAGACGTCCGCGAGGCCTTGGTGTACCAGGTCACAGACCCCTGGGGTCTCGCTGGCCCAGTGAACCCATCCCATAGAGATGCTGGGTCTCCTCTAGTGGGATCCCTCACCCTGGAAAGTGATAACAGCGTGTTTTCTTTTAAATAAACTGGAATTTATCATTTTCCCTGCTTCAGATTGGCTCCTTTTTGTTCGGCCCCCCTTCAGCAGACCCGGGTCGCGGATGCTGTGGCATGTTTTAAGTTCCTGGGCTGCAGGGCACCAACTCCTCCAGGTGCTAGGACTGCAAACTGCGTGCATGTTTAAATAAAAGGTCACTTTCAAAACTACCTGAGGCGACACTGATTTGCCTGTGTTTTGTCTGGCTGGATGTCGCTTTGGGCTTATGAGGGGCCAGGGTTTGAGATGGCCGCTTGGACTTGGAGAGAATAGACCTCTGTGGGACATCCTCCCACATGCCCCAAGACGTAGGCAGAGGACAGACAGCTCTGCGAGAGTTAGGGAGACAAGTGTATGTGCCTCGTAGCGTATGCCTGGCATTGACAGACACTGCCCCATCGGGATGGCTGTTTTAAAGTGTCTTTCGCAGTCCAGGAAGGACGATGTTGTCCAGCTTATTATCCCTTTCTTCAGCCGACACGGTCAGCTGTGTGCCAGTTCCGTCCGAAGCCCAGGTGACCCAAAGTCTATTCTCTGCCCCACCCCAGCAACCTCTAGGGAGCGAGCAGTTCCGTCCAAGACCCTCAAGGGGCTGAGGTCCAGGGAAGGCATGCCTATTCTCTGACTGTCATTTGCCCTCAAGATCCTCCCCCATCCTTTAAAAGAAACCACCAACACCAAGAAACTAATCATTCTTGTCGTTCTGTTTACACACACGTATGTGCACTTTGGGCCTAACTAGTAACCTGTAACTATGGAAACGGAGGCTGCCAGCACAGCTGCGAGGACACGGACACGGGCCCCATGTGTGGCTGCCACCAGAAGTACGCCCTCCACTCAGACGGTCGGACGTGCATCGGTAAGTAGGCAGCTTTGCCTAGCACCAGCACCTGCGTACCACCCTGCCCCCCAGGGCCATGCGGCCCCGGAGCCAGCCAGCACCCCGCCCCGCCCCCGTGTCCCAGTTCCCAAGAAGGAGGCTTAATGGAAATAAGAAAAAGTCTCCCCAGCATCAATGGGCAGCTTTTGGTAGGAACTTACTCGGTTCCTTCTGCCGCCCGGGACCGAGCGCCTCTGCTTCGTGTCACTGCAGGTTTTCTGCGGGTCCTCTCCTCGATGTGGGGGCGGTCCCAGGCAGGTGGTCTGTGGGGAGGAGGAAGGTGTGTGCTCCTGAGGTGGGCAGCTTCTGTTCCTGAAGCGCAGGTGTTTCCTCCCCAACGTGGAGACACACAGCAGACACATTTAGCCTCATAATGGCCTCAGCAGTGACGTGAGCTGTGCGCAGCGGTCTGGAGAACCGAGAGGTTTTCTCAGAAAACTGCTCTGAGTCTCCATGGTCCAGGTCACCAAGGGAGATGTTCGGTGGACCCCAGGGGTCTGGGTGTTTTAACCGCTTTCCCTTCCCAAACTAACGGGGGCTCTCGCCGGACTTCCTCTCTCACCCAGAGTCCCTCCTTCTCAGCGATGCCCCCTCCCGTCACCTCCCCTGTCACATGGAGTCTCTGTTGAGTCTCAGACACCCGCTTCCTCCTGGTCCTTATTTCCAAGGGGAAACTCGCACATCTCTGATTATCTCTTGCCGTGATCACTGGCAGGTTCTTTTCCCACCCAAAGATAACAGCAATTTTTTTAACTGAGAAAAAGGAATTTCAAGGTTGGTGTCCGTCCAACTTTGCACATCCTCCTCTTTCTTTCTCCTCGATATTGGCACACTTTAGAAACCCACAAGTCAGCTATCGCGGTGATTTTTTCAAGGCCCCATTTCTTATTATCCACTTGGAAGACGTTTCTTGAGGGACTTTCAAGTAACAGAAAAGGGGATGGCAAGCGAGCAAAGCCCTGAAGTCCAGAGTGTACTGTTGCATTCCGTCCCCTGTGACCTGCTCCCTGGCACCTGCGGAGCTAGGCAGAGGGGCTGGGCCCGGGGCGGGGCACCAGCGGTCCCATCCTCGTCCCTGGCTGTCGTCCCAGGTGCTGCTGCCTGCGTGGTTCTCCCTTCCTCTGTGTGGTCTCTCCTCTCCAACAGCCATTTTTGGTTTCATTTTATCTCATTCCTCCTGCTTTTCTGGTGATGGTCCCTGATTGCCTGTCTTGTCTGATAACTGACGTTCATTAATTATTTTCAGAGTCAAAAACCAAACCAAACAACCAAAAAAAAATAATAATAATTTGAAGCAAAACCCGGTTTTAGACCAGTGTCTCTATTGCAGCCTGATCCCATCTAGAACCTCCTCTCCCGCCCCTCTGCCTGTCTCTGCTGTCCTGCCGGAGGGCTCCCAGGCCCACCGGCCCCCTTCCTGTCTCGTCCGCTGGAGTCGCCCTCAGTGTTTGCGTCTGCATTGGGGCCGCCTCTGCCGGCCACTGGACCAGCGCAAACAGCTGCCGGCCAGACACACAGCCAGCCTCGTCTAACACATCTCGTCTTCGTCCACCTGACTCATCCTTTCTTCTTCTTATTATTTTTTTTTATCTTTTAGTGTCTGCTGCATGTGACGGCCCCGCTTGGATCTATTTTCTCACGTAATTTTCCTCACCGCCTACTCACCGCCTCTGTCCCTCCTCCCCTTAGAAATCCCTTCCCAGACGCAGCTCCTGGGCCCTTGCTCCCTGCCGGCCAGGAGAACCTTCCATCTGCCTGCTCCCTGCTCCCCAGCTCCCCTCGTGGGAGTGATGTCTCCGCACATCACCCTCTGAACAAAAAAAAAAAAAACCTCAATCCCGCTAACCCCTCGTGCTCCTCCATGAGAAGCATCTGGGCGGAGCTTCCTGCCCAGCGGCCAGAATGCGCTCCGCCCTCCGTCTCTCTCCTAAAACGACTGACCCCTCTTTGCAACCCCTCGTCGAGCACTTGAATGTGTCGCTCTAGTCCTCTATAGACAAGCAGGCAACCAGCGCTGCCCAAATCGATCCCCTGGTTTTTCTGTCTGTTCGATGGGATCCATTATTGTGTGTGTTTGTTCCTCCGTATTTTTGTTCTTAATTTTGCATGAGTGTTTGACACACTTTCACGCTCTTGAGACAGGGCGTCTGCTCCATCACCGGACCTCACGGCCCTGTCCCCTTGTCCTGTGCCCTGTCCTATGCCCGCCTCTCCAGCCCGAGCCAGGGGCGTCTGTAATGGCCTGTGTCTTCGTGAGCTCTGCGTGGCGCTGTCTGCTTCTGTGGCCCTCTGCAGATGCGTCCTGTCTGCTGACCTCAACTGCCTCCTCCGTTTATGTGCGGATGGGCCCTGTGTCCCCTCTGTGTCCTTTTGTGGCCATCCCCTTTTCTTCACCCCATCCCGGCCCGGCTGCCTCTTCGCTCTGCCCTGAACATGCCACCTTGGAGGTGCCTGGGTTTAGCCCCTTGGCGAGGACGCTGCGCCGGCTCGCATGCTGTGTTGGCTTTGTGTGCGCCACGCCGAAAGGCTGACTGTCTTGGGCCGCGGGAAGTGGGCTCTCATTAACCAGTGGCTCCATGTTTGTCCCTTACTTGTGTTTTAGAGAAGGATGAGGCTGCAATTGAGCGCTCTCAGTTCAGTGCCACGTCAGTAGCTGATGTGGACAAGCGGGGGAAACGGCGGCTCCTCATGGGTAACGCTTCTCTTCCACTCCCTTTGTTGTCCTTGCCCCTTCGTCCGCGCGCGTGTGTGTGCGGGTCCTGTGCGGCGTGCCGGGCGTCTGTGTGCGGGCGAGTGGAGCTGTGAGTGTGTGTGCGGGCGTGTGGCGTGTGCGCGTGTATGTGGGCTGTCCGTCTGTGTGGTGTGCCCACGCGAGTGCGGTCACGGGTGCCACGTGTGAATGTGGGGGGCTCCGCTCCAGATGGGAACTCACTTTTTCCTTTTTAAAGTTTTTACCCTTCATCAAACACATGTATTTCTTTGTTTGTGTGTTTGTAGCCACGAACCCAGAGCCAGTGTCTAGTGGCCTCTGCACGTAAGGAGACGTGCTCTGTAAAGCCTTTCTACCTGCAGTTAGCATCCCAGCATCAGCAAAGCAACAGCGAGACACAGACACAGGGGAGGGCGTTAGTGTAGATCAAGGATTCAGGCAGCGCAGCCCTATCCATCTCCCCACTCAGGAGAGAAGCCACGTCCAGGAAAAAAAGCCACATCTCTATTCGGGCTGAGGGATCTTAGGGTTCTCTGGTCCACCCTGCTGGCGTTATAACTGGGAAGTCTACCTGGGAGGGGGTCCAGTCAAGGTCATCTGGCAGGCCTGGGTAAAAGCAGTACTCAGCCCCTCCTGGCCCCAAGGCTCCCTGACTGCATGAGTGACCCCAGCCAAAGCCTTGGCCCACTTTCCCATGGTCCCCCTTGGGCACCTGCGTGCCTGGGGGGTGCACACAATGTCAGCTGCACTCTGAGCACTGCCCCTGGGCTAGATCCAGACTCCAGGGAGGCCCACCCAGAAATGCCCAGTGCCACTCGGGGTGGCTCAGAGGCCTGCTGGTGTGGCGGGTCCTTGGCCGTGTGAGGGAGATGGAAGGAGAGGGAGAAAGTGACTCTTCCACCGAGCTCAGTCTGCACAGCAGAGAAGCAGGTCTGCCTCCTCGTTCATTCATTCCTGTTTCTCAGTCCTGCTCCCACAGCGCCCAGGCTGCTGCCTGGGGTGGCACCAGCTGCCTAGGCCTGTGGAGCAGAGCTGTCGGATCACCTGAGATTGTCACAACCTTCTTTGTGACACTCTGATACATCACGCCAGCCTTGGGAGCTGTGAGGCCAGGTGGTACATGTCCCATGTCTCAGTCAAGAAAACTGAGGCTCACTGGGGTTCCCTGGCTTGCTCAAGATCGCACACTACCTTGAATAGCTGAGTTTAGTCCAGAGCTCATGGCAATGTGGGCTGTCTTAATTGTCAGGGTCACGGGACCATGGAGGTCAGATCCTGAAGGTCCTGGAGAGGTCACCTGGTTTTGTGGTCTTCTCAAAGGAGCCCAGGCATCTAGGGAGGAGCGAGGTCCAAGTGGGGCCACGGGAGGGATGTGGCCACGTGCTGAGGAGTAGGCTGGAGGCTGCCCTCCCCAGTGGGGCTTTGAGGAGCAAAAGAGATCACAGGCTGGCTGGTGGTGCTCTGTGAACCCTAAAATCCACAGTGGGAGAACAGGCATAGCCCTGTTTATTGAAAGACAACACTAAGGGCCTGTGAGGCCAGAGGTTCACCTCCGGTCACACAGGCAGATAGGACAAGCTCAGGCGGGAAGCCCGCTGTCTGCACATTCTCGTTGACTCGTTGACTCGGGCCATCATTGTTGGCCTTGGAAGTTCTGGAAATGGCCAAGAGGTGGGCTTGGAGGCCCCACGAAGGAGGCACATCCACACCCTCCTGGAAGGTGTGAGTCAGCACTGTGGACTTTCTGGAAAGGTAGCTAGAAGCGGATGGCGGGGATCTACGCGTTGCCAGTGCTCTGAGGCCATGCTGAGGCCCAGAAGGGCCAGGCCCCTCGTCCTCACCTGCTAGGAGAGGCAGGCACTGCTGCTGAGGCCAGAGCTCCAGAGCAGGGCAGGACTAGGCATGGGGCCCCCAGGCGCCCTGCACCCTTCCCAGCAAGAGCATAGTGGTGGAAGAGGGCTGAGCTGCGCTGGCATCAAGCAGGTGGTGGCAGGGCGGGTGGGTAGGTGGAGAGTCAGTGGACAGTGGCCCAGAGCCAGACCCTGGAGCGGGGTCTGGGAGGGGAGGAAGGAGGCGCCGAGGACACAGCTATTCTCGCCCTGGGTTTGGGAGGCAGAGATGGGGGATCAGAGCGGGGAACTCTGTGCCAGGCCAAGGAAATGGGTGATGACTGGCCTTCCTGCATTCCCACCTCTCTGATTAGAGAACCCCCCACCCCCACCCCCCAGAGCCTATCCTGCCCGCTACACAGAAGAGACTGCTCCCTCCT